CTGTAGCGGCTGTTGGTTAAACAGCAGGTGAAATCAAAGGGAAAACTGACCAACATGCAACTAATACTACTAGCCAAAAGAAGCACTAACAAAAACTGGTTTGATAAAAGTGGAAGAATGAGATTGATTAACATATTAAATTTGTCAAAGACAATTTATAATGCAGTAAAAGGTTGGAAAACATGCAAGTTATGCAATTACTCAAGCAAAAATGTCTCAGCATGATGGACAACTGTGAAAATCTTTAAAATGGCATTAAATGAAATAATCCCAAAAGGGTAACAGAGGTCATACAGAATAAGAGATGTACCACGGTATCCAAATAGCTATAATCAATATCATTTAATCGTTTGTAGTTATAAGAGGTGGGCTAAGCATGCAAAGCAATGTTGTGACCATCACATTTCAATTATGCTTTCTTTCCAATCCTGCCCTGCAAAACAATCACAAGATTTGTGTCACAGCATGCCAGTACAACTTTTATCAGGTGGACCTAATGCTGCATGAGCCTGTGGAAAGAACACTAATTCAGATATGAAAAGATCTTGGTTCTACTTATCTGCTATGTAATCTTGGCCAAATCATTCAAACTCAAAATTCTGGTATAAAATAGAAACATGGTTTGTACCTGCACTGCTCTACAGAAATACAATGAAAGCCACAAATGAAATTTTAAAAATTTCTAGTAGCCACATTTAAAAAAGGAAATAAAATTAATTTTAATATTTTATTTAACCCATGTCTAGAATATTATTTCAGTATAAAAATTGAGATACTTATTTTTTCATACGGAATCTTCAAAATCCAATGTAAATTTTACACTTACATATATCAGTTTGAATTAGCCACATATTAAATGCTCAATAGCTAACTGTATGCTGTCATATTGGACAGCATAGCTCAACCATTTTCAAACTTTTCATGGGGAAACAGAAGCAGCATGAGACTCAATTGAGCCTCAAAGCTCCACGGAACATAAAAATCTTAACACTGCTGGTCTAGATTATTGCAAAGGTTCTTTCCAGTGAAAAAGACTATTATTCTTTATGGCAACGGTCACTTACACTGAACTGCTGTAACCACTTAGCTGAGTTTCAGATAAAAGACCAGTAATGCTATGAATTTATTTTCTATCCATTTCAGTGTTTTTACATACATATGCTTTATCATGTCCATAATCAGACACTTAAAGACATTCACAATTATTGTGTAACTGTAATATATCAGAAAATAATAACCTACCTCAGAGTTTGGTTGAGATGATTAGAGAAGTTAATTCATTAAGTGCTTAGAATAGCAAACACTCAACAGTTAACTGTTATCATCAATACTTCATCATTAATCCACTACACTATCCTAGAACTGTCCAGCTCTATTCACGACAGGATTAAAACATATTTAATATGTTTTAATTAAATATGTTTAATTAAATATGTCCCAAGGTCAATAAAATTTTCATGCCAGTTGTAAACTAATCAGCATAATAATCTACCTTATACAATGAGACATACAGATCAAAAATAGTAAAATCAGGCCTTCCCATCCTTTTAGTCTCAGAAATACTACCCCACAATGACAAAAGGGACAAGAAACAAAAACAGTATGTGTAGCTCCCAGTCATATCTACGACAATGGAAAAACAGACTGAGAAACAACATACAAGTTAGAGTGGAGGAAGATCAAACCTAAGAGCCTATGGAGGAATATACTGTTGAGAAGCAAGCCCACAAACCACACAGAGCCTTGGAAAGCCTCAGAAATTTTTCTTAATTGAGGTATAACGGAAAGCTGTAGTGAGGTAGCGGACTGAAACAAGGGCATGGTTTGAAAAAGAGAAAATTAAGAAAACCAGCCTAGTAAGTCCAACATTTGACTTACAGGATATGAGGAAGGAAGGAGCTTCTCAATGAATTAACACAGGAAAATTCCCAAGAACATAGTCTTATACTGAAAGTACCCTCCTTTACCCCATCACCACACCAGCTAAATTTTGTATTTTTAGTAGAGATAGGATTTCACCACGTTGGCCAGGATGGTCTCGAACTCCTGATCTCAGGTGATCTGCCCACCCTGGCCTCCCAAAGTGCTAGGATTACAGGCATGAGCTACCCCACTCGGCCTCATTATAGTTTTAACTTTCATTTGTTTGATAATTAGTGATGTTGACCATTTTTTCATGGTCACTTGTATGTCTTCTTTTGAGAAGTATCTTTTCATGTCCTTTGCCCACATTTTAATGGAGTTTTTTCTTGTTGTTTGAGTTCCTTGTAGATTCTGAACATTAGAACTTTGTCAGATAGTGTTAACAAATATTTTCTGCCGGGCGCGGTGGCTCAAGCCTGTAATCCCAGCACTTTGGGAGGCCGAGACGGGCGGATCACAAGGTCAGGAGATCGAGACCATCCTGGCTAACATGGTGAAACCCTGTCTCTACTAAAAATACAAAAAACTAGCCGGGCGAGGTGGCGGGCGCCTGTAGTCCCAGCTACTCGGGAGGCTGAGGCAGGAGAATGGCGTAAACCCGGGAGGCGGAGCTTGCAGTGAGCTGAGATCCGGCCACTGCACTCCAGCCTGGGCGACAGAGCGAGACTCCGTCTCAAAAAAAAAAAAAAAAAAAAAAAACAAATATTTTCTCCCATACTGTAGGTTGTCTGTTAAATACATTATTGCATTTGCTGTGCAGAAGCCTTTTAGTTTAAGCCCCATTTACCTATTTTTGGTTTTTGTATGTTTCCTTTTGAGGACTTAATCATAAATTCTTTGCTTAGATCAATGTCCAGAAGAGTTTTTCCCAGGTTTTCTTCTAGGATTTTTATAGTTTCAGGTTATATATTTAATTACTGAATCCATCTTGAGTTAATTTTTGTTTATGGCAGGGGTACGCTTTCATTCTTTTGCATACCGCTCTCCAATTTTCCCAGCACTATTCATTGAATAGTGTATCCTTTCCCCCGTATATACTTTTGCCAACTTTGTCCAAGATCAGTTGGTTGACAGTATGGGGCTTTATTTCTGGATTCTCTATTCCATTCCATTGACTTATATGTCTACTTTTATACCAGTACTGCGTTGTTTTCAATTACTACAGCCTTGTAGTATAATTTGACATCAGCTAATGTGATACCTCCAGCTTTATATTTTGCTTAAGATGGCTTTGGCGATGGGGGTTCTTTTTTGGTTCCGTATGAATCCCAGGATTGTTTTCCCTTATTCTGTGAAGAATGACATTGGTAATTGGAGAGAAATTGCACTGAATCTGTAGATTGCTTTCAGTAGTACACAAATTTTATAATGAAGTTTAATTACATGAAATCAGTAGTCACCAAGAAGAAACAGAATAAAATGAACACTGCGTTAATCAAAGCGTGCCAATGCTACACCTTCAAATGGTGTTATGCCAAATACGATCCATACACTGGTGGTTATATACAGACCTATACCTGGGTTCACATGTATCATACATGTATTCCATTTAAATACATGAATATAAATATATAACCATGCTGTTATGATTTCTGAGAATAAAAGGAAAGGAAATTACTGTAATCTCAGCATTTTGGGAGGCTGAGGCAGGCGGATCACGAGGACAAGAGAGCGAGACCATCCTGGCCAGGATGGTGAAACCCTGTCTCCACTAAAAATACAAAAATTAGCTGGGTGTGGTGGCATGCGCCTGTAGTCCCAGCTACTCAGAAGGTTGAGGCAGGAGAATTGCTTGAACCTTGGAGGTGGAGGTTGCAGCAAGCCAAGATTACGCCACCATACTCCAGCCTGGTGACAGAGCAAGACTCTGTCTCAAAAAAACCACACACACACACACAAAAAACAAAAAAAGAAAGAAAAGAAAATTCATCCAAAAAATACAAGCTAATATAAAAGCTCACTGAAAGAAAAGGATCCATTTCCAGTTCAAAAATAAATAAATATATAAATAACAGAAAATTAAGGGAATACATTCAAAGATGATAAAGCAGAAGGTCAAGAATTCATAATTTGCTACACTCAATATAAAGTCTATTACAATATTACAAAGTATCTTTGCCAATAATAAAGTGCTTGATTCATATATCTACAACCCTAACAAATAAAATACTGAGGTTGTAATGTACTGTTGGACTTCACCTAACTAGATTATCTAATGCAGTTTTTCATAAAATCTGTTTTGAGAATATTTCACTATGACTGCAAAATATTTATAATAGAATATCTTATTTCTCAAGCATGAGGGTTCTAATTCATCTGACTTTATGGAATTTCTATAGTGAGGATCAAATGCTCCTTCAGGCTCCAAAGTCCCTCCTTAGCAAAAAAAAAAAAAAAAAAAGGCACTTAAGCCTTATGTCTTTTCATTTCTTTGCCAAAAGTAATAGACCATTTGTCAACAGCATTTTCAAAGGAAGGCTAAAAAAAAAAAAAAATGTTCTAAATGTCTTTATGATTAATAATCTGGAATAAAAAGACATATTCTGTGAATGAAATTTTACTTTAAAATGTTAGGTAACAAATGTAAAGACAAACATGAAAACAAGTGTAGCAAATTGTTGACAATTACTGAATTCAAAGGACTGGTTTATGAGGTTTCTCCTTTCTTTTTGTATATATTTTTACATTTCCAATTTTAAGTTTATAATGAACAGCAACACTTTATTGGTCACTTGTGAATTCATTAACAAACATACACCAAAAAAATCTTAAAGAAGAAAGTTGCACCTTTAGAAAACTAAAATACACTAAAAACAAATAGGCGAAAATATTGAACAGTGTAGTTATGCTGAGAAAATGAAAATGTGACAGATTTCCCCATTCTTGTATACCACTTTTCAGAACCTCCTCATCCCCACTCCAAAAAAGTAATTTTCCAGGGGAGAACGGGAACACACGCGTGTGCGCGCACATACACACACACACACACAACATTGTTAAAATAAAAGAAGGTAGTTTCAGGCTTAAAATGGAACATTAAATTCTTTAAAAGAAATGAATAAAGGTAAAGGATTTACCTGTTCTTCTCTTTTCTGCTTTCGTAACTGTAGTCCTTCTTCCTCCCTCCTCCTGCGCATCTCATCTGGATTCAGAGATTTGTTCTTATAACTTTTCAGGCGAAAGTTCTCTTTTCCTGGGGTGGTCATGATTTCTACAATAAAAGTGGGGAGAGAACAAATGAGTTTACTGTGAAGAGCTCTGTTATTCTAGGAGCTCAGTCTTTTACATGCAGATATCCCAAAGGGACATCAGAAATGGCTACTTCCCCTCCCCAACTCCTGCCTTTTTTGAGACAAGGTCTTGCTCTGTCCACCCAGACTAGAGTACAGTGGTGCAATCATAGCTCACTGCAGCCTCAAACTCCTGGGTTCAAGCAATCCTCCTGCTTCAGGTTCCTGAGTATCTGGGACCACAGGTGCATGCCACCACGCCCAGCAAATTTTTTTATTATTTGTAGAGACAGGGTCTGATCGTGTTGCCCAGGCTGGTCTTGAACTCCTAGCTTCAAGTGATCCTCCCACCTTGGCCTCCCAAAGTGCTGGGATTTCAGGCGTGAGCCACTACACCTGGCCAGGTTACTTTAACAGTTTTATTAAAATGTGCTATTCAACAGCTTTTAGTGTATTTACAGCTTGTACAACCTTCATCACAGTGAATTTTGGGACATTTTAATCACCTCAAAAGGAAATCCTGTATTGTTTAAGCTATCGTCCCTATTATGGACATTTCACATGAACAGAACAGAATCATGTAATATGCAATATTCTGTGACTGGCTTCTTTCACTTAGCATGTCTTCAAGGTTCATCCATGTTGTAGCATATATCAGTACTTTATTTCTTTTTAGGCTGAATTCCAAATGGACATTTGGAATGTTTCCACCTTTCAGCTATTATGAATAACACTTCTACAAACATTTGTGGTCAAGTTTTACACATTTTAATTTCTCTGGGTTACATACCTAGAATCGCTAGGTCATATGGTAACTATGTTTAATTGCTTAAGAAACTGCTCAACTGTTTTTCCTAAGTGGCTGTACCATTTTATATTCCCATCAGCAGTATATAAGGCTTGCAGTATCTCCACATCCTTGCCAGCACCTTACTATTAAAACTTTCATTGAAATCATCCTAGCGGGTGTGAGTGGCATCTCATTGTAGGTTTGGTTTGCAATCCCCTGATGACAAATGAGATAGAACATCTTTTCACATATATATGTGTTAACTGTGTATCTCCCATTAAAATAAAGTATATTCAGAGCCTTCGCCCATTTTTAAATTAGGTTGTCCTTTTATTATTGAGTTGTAAAAGTTCTTTTTACATTCTAGATAAGCGTCACTTATCAGATATGCTTTTCAAATATATTCCATAGATAGTCTTTTCACTTTCTTGGTGTCCTTTGAAACACAAAAGTTTTAATTTTGATAAAGTCCAAATTAATCTGTTTTTTGTTGTTGTTGTGCATGCTTTTGGTGTCATATCCAAGAATCCTTAACCTTGTACTTCTTTCCAAGAGTTTTACCTGTTACATTTAAATCTGTGATCCATTTTGAGTTAATTTTTGTTTGTAGCATGATATGAGAGTCCAACTGCATTTTCTGCTTGTGTCTATCCAGTTATCCCAACACTACTTGTTGAAAAGACTCCTCTTTCTCCACAGAATGGTCTTGGCACCTGCTACAGACTGAATGTGTGTCTCACCCAAAATTCTTATGTTAAATCCTAACTCCCAATGTGATAGAGGTTGAAGGTAAAGCCTTTGGGAGATGATTAGCCCTTAGTGATAGAGTCCATATAAATAGGATTAAAGCCCTTAAAAAGAGACCCCCAAAGAGTTCACATGCTCCTTCAGCCATGTGAGGACACAGAGAAAAGAAAGACATCTGTAAACCAGGAAGCAGGCTCTCATCAGACACTGAATCTGCCAGTGCCTTGATCTTGGACTTCCCAGCCTCCAGAACTGTGAGAAATAAATTTCTATTGTCTGTTAACCACCTAGTCTCCGGTATTTCATTACAGCAACCCAAACGGACCATGACAGCACCTTGTTGACAACCAGCTGACCATATACATATATGTGGTTTAATTTCTTGACATTCAATTCTATTCCACTGATCTCTATGTGTATCCCTGTGCCAGCCCCACACTGTCTTGGTTACCATTGCTTCAAAGTAAGTTTTGAACTCGAAAAATGTGAGTCTTCTTACTTTTTTGGTTCTTTTTTCAAGATTGTTTTGGCTATTATTGATCCCTTGCAATTCCATATGAACTTTAGAATCAGTTTGTCAATTTCTATGAAGAAGTCAGCTATGATTCTGATAGGAGACTGCACTGAATCTGTAGATCAATTTGGGAAATACCAGCACCTTAATGTTAAATCTTCCACTTATTTAAGATAGGAGTTCTATTTAGATCTTAATTTCTGTCTATAATGTAGCTTTCAAAGTATGTTTTATACTTTTGTTAAATTCATTCCTAAGTATTTAATTTTATGCCAATGGAAATGAAATTGTTTTAATTCTCAGATTGTTCATCACAAATCTAGAAAAATATGATTGATTTTTGTATATTGATCTTGTATTCTACAATCCTGCTTATTTAATTGTTGCTAATGCTTTATCTGATACACATCATGTCATCTACAAACAGATAGCTTTACTTCTCCCTTTCCAATTTTGATGTCTTTCATTTCTTTTTCTTGTCTAACTACCCTGGCTAGAGTCTCCAATACAATGTTGAATAGAAATAGAGCAGACATCCCTGTCTTATGCTAGACCTTAGAATGAAAGCAGTCTTTTACATTAAGTATGATGTTACCTTTGGATTTTCTGTGAGTGCACTTTTATCGGGCTGAGAAGTTCCCTCTTATTCTCAGTTGACTGTTTCATCAATAAAGAGTGTCAGATTTTGTCAAATGTTTTTTCTGTGCCTACTGAAATCACAATGTGTTGTTTTTTTGTTTTTTGGGTTTTTTTTTAAAACACAAGGGCCAGGTACAGTGGCTCATGTCTATAATTCTAGCATTTTGGGAGGTCAAGGCAGAAGTATCACTTGAAACCAGGAGTTGAAGACCAGATTAGGGAACATGGTGAGACTCCATCTCTACAAAAAAATTAAAAAATAAAAATCAGACAGGCTGGTGGTGTGCACCTGTAGTCCCAGGTACTCAGGAGGCTGAGGCAGCAGGATGGCTTGAGCCCAGGAGTTCCAGGCTGCAGTGAGCCATGATCACACCACTGTACTCCATCCTGGGTGACGGTGAAACCCAGTCTCTTAAAAAAAAAAAAAAAGATGGGTTTATATTTTCTTGTGATATATTTGTCTGGCTTTGGTATCAGAGTGATACTGGCTTCATAAAATGAGTTGGAAAGTATTCCCCAGGAAGATTTTGTGAAGAATTATATTCTTTATTTCTTTAAATATTTGGTAAAATTCAGCAGTAAAGCCATACGGGTGTAGGCTTTTTCTTTGCAGGCAGTTCTGTGACTACTAATTCAATGTCTTCACATGTTACAGGTCTATTCACATGGTCTGTTACTTATCGAGTCAGTTTTGGTAGTTTTCGTCTTTCCAAAAATTTGTGCACTTCATCTAAGCCATTTAATTTACTGGGATACAACTGTTTTTTTGTTTTTTTGAGACAGAGTCTCACTCTGTTGCCCAGGCTGGAGTACAGTGGCGCCATCTCGGCTCACTGCAACCTCTGTACCTCAGGTTCAAGCCATTCTCCTGCCTCAGCCTCAGAGTAGCTAGGATTACAGGCATGTACCACCACGCCTGGCTAATTTTTGAATTTTTAATAGAGACAGGGTTTTACCATGTTGGCCAGGCTGGACTCAAACTCCTGATCTCAGAAGACCCACCCGCCTCAGCCTCCCAAAGTCCTGGGATTATAAGCATGAGCTACCATGCCCTGCCACAACTGTTAATAGTATTTCTTTATAATCTTATTAATTTTTATAAGGTCACTAGTGATGTCCCCTCTTTCATTTCTAGTTTTTTCCCCCCCAGACACTCTCTCACTCTGTTGCCCAGGCTGGAGAGTGCAGTGGCACAATCATGGCTCACCGTAGCATCAACTTCCTGACTCAAGCAATCCTCCCACCTCAGCCTCCCAAGTATCTGGGACTACAGGCACTTGCCCAAATTATTATTTACTGGGGGGGGGGCGTTGGGGGGATAGAGATGGGGGTCTCAGCACGTGGGAAACTGGTCTCAAACTCCTGAGCTCAAGTGATCCTCCTGTCTCGGTCTCCCAAAGTGCTGGGATTACAAGCATGTGCCACTGTGCCCAGGTAATCTGAAAAATGTTGAGTTTTTTCTCAATCTAGCTAAAATTTGTCAATTTTATTCATCTTTAATGCTCTCTATTGTTTTCCTATTCTCTGTGTCATTAATTTTCACTCTACTCTTTATTTGCTTCTTTCTGCTTGCTCTGTTCTTCTTACCTCAGTCACTTAAAGTGGAAAGTTAAGTTACTGATTTGAGATCTTTCTTTTCTTTTTTTTTCTTTCTTTTTTTTTTTTTTTTTTGAGACAGAGTCTCACTCTATTGCCCAGGCTGGAGGGCAGTGGCACGATCTCGGCTCACTGCAACCTCTGCCTCCCAGGTTCAAGTGATTCTCCTGCCTCAGCCTTCCAAGTAGCTGGGATTACAGGCACCTGCCACCACACCCAGCTAATTTTTGTATTTTTAGTAGAGATGAGGTTTCACGATGTTGGCCAGGCTGGTCTCAAACTCCTGACCTCAAGTAATCCACTCACCTCCGCCTCCCGAAGTGCTGGGATTACAGGTGTGAGCCACCACACCCAGACTCCTTTCTTTTTAATAAGGGCATTCACGACTAAGTTTCCTTTTAAGCACTGCTTTAGCTGTATCCCTAAGTAGTCCTACATGATGTCTTCATTTTCATTTATCCCAAAGTGTTTTCTGATTTCCTTTTTGATTTCTCCATGGACCCACCAGTTATTTAGGAGTATGTTCTTTAACTTACACATATTTGTGAGTTTCTCAAATTTCTTACTGTTACTGATTTCTAATTTCTTTCCATTGTGATCAAAGAACATGATTTGTATCAATTTAATCCTTTTACATTTATCTAGTTTGTTTTGTAGACCAGTAAAACGCAAAATGCGCACGTAACACTTCCTAT